GCATATAAAAGTTGTGTTTACACTATATTATAGTCTGTTACGTGTGCAATAACATTATGTCTAAAATACAATGTAGGTACCTTAGTGACAAATATTTTTTAAAAAAGATTTTATTTATTTACTCATGAGAGACACACAGAGAGAGGCAGACACAGGCAGAGGGAGAAGCAGACTCCATGCAGGGAGCCCGATGTGGGACTTGATCCCAGGATCCTGGGATCATGACCTGAGCCGAAGGCAGATGCCCAACCACTGAGCCACCCAGGTGCCCCAAAATACTTTATTGCTAAAAAATGCTAGCCACCATCTGAGCTTTCAGTGGGTTACAATCACTGGTCACAGATCACCATGGCAAATATAATCATAATGGAAAAGTTGGAAATATTGAGAACTTCCAAAATGTGACACAGAGACGAGAAGTGAACAAAGGCTGTTGGAAAAACGGCATTGGTAGACTTGCTCGGTGCAGGGTCACCACAAACATTTCAATTTGTACAACATGCAGTATCCGCAAAGCGCAATAAAGCAAAGCGCACCGAAACGAGGCATGCCTGTAGTTAAAAATATATTCGATTCCAAACAGAAGTGTCATCAGGGCTGCAACGTGCTCTTTACACACTGCAAGGGAACAAGCCCAGGGCAGGGAGCAGGGGTGCCAGGTTTAATCTTGTTGCTGCTGCGGGTTCGTGGTGTGACTTTGGGCAAGCTTCCCCGATGTTTAATGAGGGGCTGGGGAGGCTCACTGCCGAGGACCCTCCGGGTCCTGATGTTCAGTTTTCTGGGTGGGGGAAGCAGGCTTGCACGTGTGTGGAGTGGCGGCTGCAGCATGCAGCCTGTAGTAGAGGCAGGGTGTGGTGGGTGTTGACTCGGTTTCCCCCTGCTCTTGCCAGCCCCCAGACTCCCATTCTAGCTGAGCGTCTCCCAGTGTCCTGGGCCTCAGAAACTGAGTGGGATAAGAAATGTTGTTTCAAGCTGCTTGGGGGATGATTCGTTATGCAGCTATAGGTTATTAAAATGCTTCTACGTCTGGGATCAGATGGCAGGGGTGGCCTGGTGGCTGGCTGAGGCCTGAGGCCACAGTGGCACCTGGTCACATGTCTCATCATTTAGGAGGCCAGCCTGGATTCTTCACATGGGTGGGAGCAAGAGGAGTCAAGCCGCCATGTGGTGCTCTGCTTGCATCACGTTTGCTAACAACCCATTGGCCAAAGCACGTTGCGGAGCCAGCCTGGACTCAAGGGGTGAGGAAACAGGCTCCATCCCTTGATGCCTGGGGAGGAATCTGTGGCCACTTTTTGCAATTACAGAATGCGAGGCTCATGTGCGAGCTCCCACTGCCCTGAATACCCCATCCTTCTCCACTTCCTCGCTCTTAGCCTCTGAGTCTGAATCCACATTTACTGAGCACTTGCTATGCGGCAGGTGGCCTCCCCATTACGGCTCTAATTCATCGCTAACAGCAGCCCTCGCGAGGAAATCTACTTCACCGGGGAGGCATGGAGGTTCGGAGAGATCAAGTGGTCCGAAGTCATAAAGCTGGTAACTGGAAGAGCCAGGACTCAAACCCAGGTCAAGGAATTCCAAGTTTGGTGTTAGTTTTACTTTCCCTATCAGGGTGCCCAGAACTTTCTATTTAACTTGTTCTTTTTCACAGACACACAGGCAGAATTTGTGGAGACTGGTCCCTGGCTGGGTTCTCCCCCAGGAATCCCTGCTCTGGGATTGCTGGTTGGCGCTGAAGGGGATCAGTCTGGGGCAGGAGGTTTGGGCAAAATGAACAGACTCTAGGGGGCGACAAAGGCCAAGGTGCCTTCTCATTGCCGCCCTCAGTTCTTCCATTGCCGCCTTCCTTGCCTGTGTCTGTTCTCAGAGAAGAGAGAGAGGCTGGCCATTAGGAAAAAAAAAAAAAACAAACCATTCATCTTCAGGCACTAAGAATCCAGGAGAGGAGGGAGAGGGGAGGGAGGGAAGGAGGAGGAGAGACAGAGAGGGAGACAGAGAGGAGGAGGAGGAGGGTCTTAAGTGATGCTGTGTGACCTTAGCCAGGTCAGGTCATCTCTCTGAGCCCTCTTTCCTCATCAGTAAAGAGGGGGCATCTTATGGAGTGGTTGTGAGGATGGCATGAGAAAACACGTGTGAGTACTTTGGAAACTGTTAGGTGCTGTACCAATATTCGTGAATGCTGTTGATAGTGCTACAATTATTAGGTCACGGTGGGAGAATCTAATGCTGGGAAAGGGTGTCGTGCCCAACAGGTGCTAATGACACATGTAACCCCCCATCTCTAATGAGCAGCTTTGTGTCAAGTGAAAACTGGAGTTTCCTGGTAGTAAGAGGTGACATGTGAGATGCCTCGTTGACCTAATTATTGGGGTGGGGGGAGAGTTGCCACACTGCAGGTACATAATCGAGAAAGATAACTGATAACATGCAGTTGTTCCCACAATTGCTCACTTCAGGATCACAGTCAGGGTCTGAGGGTTTACTGGAAAATCTACATCTGTGGAAGCCCTGAAGGTCATCAGCAATTATGCAGAACGTCGGAGTGCTGCTTTTTTGCATCCCAGGCATACAAAATTTATTTCCTTAAAATTAAAGTATGATCTCAAGACATACCGAAGCATATTAGCATTTCATGTGCATTTTTGCTTTGGATAAACACACAGTTCTCCTCATTTCTCCATTAACCACATCTATACCGCTGGAGGTTAAACAGCTTTTTCTTGAAAGTTAGAAAAAAGCCTTTGACAGGTAGGTGCTTAGTGTCTAAGGTATAGGACTTGATGGATCAGTTTGTCAGACCCACCTCACACCACACGGGAGATTCTCTGACCTATTCAGGAAGACCGGGCAGTTTTTACTGCCAGTCATGGCACTGGCTGGTGCATGGCGGGCCGTGTCCTGCACAAACGCTAACTTGTTATATGCATCACAATGAAATCTTTTTTTCATTTACAGCAGTAATTAGGGATCCAAATTTAAGTTAACAACCAAGTCTGTGTTATTAACATAAAACACACACCTGAAGTCACATTGCTTCAACGTGACAACTGTCTGATGACTTGCTCCTGCTCTTGGAGGCTGGACCCCTTCTTGCAATGTACATTCTGAACCCAGAAATTCTAAACTGTAAAGAACAAATCTCGGCTGTGCTAGTGGTTGAGAACAGTGGAAGTGGCCTGGTGTAGCTTGTTGATACGAGAGAGAAAACCAAAGGTCTTGAGCAGGGCTTGATTATACCTAATGTATTAGAACAATTCGGGATTGATACTTGAGGGACTTCTGCCTCTTTTGAAGGAGGGATAGGCTATGCCTGCAATGCTTGTAGCCGCTGCCAGGTGGTGGTAGTGTCTCCAGTGGCCTAAGAGTCTGAACTTTCTCCATGTGGTCTATTAAGTGTCAGAGACTCACAGGTGCATAGAGCCAGTCACTGCTCCATCACCCACTAAAATCAGTCTGGTTTGAGCCATGATTCTGGCACTTAACTACCTGTGTGGTCCTGGGTAGTTAACTTTCTCATCTGAGGAAAGAGGGATAAAGTAGTGCCTTCCAGGACTTGGACATTTTGTATTTGTAGAGCACTTCCCACCTTACCAGGTGTCCTCTGACGTGTTTCTCCAGGTGCCTACACAACCTGGCATGAGATTAATGTACTACAGCTCCACTATGAGCTCTGGGGGGCAGGGAGCATGATTTCTACTGGACCAACCCCTTACACTGGCACATTTATCGATTCATATTTACCCAGGAGTAGTAGCTATATTTATTGAGCATGTATCCCTCTCAAAACCAGTTGTTTGAATCCTCATGGCATCCCTATAATATCAGTATCATTTTTATACCCATTTCACAGAAGGGGAAATCCCCAGGGTTATAGGAAACTTAAATGAACTAATGAATAACACCTGCTTAGCACAGTGCCTAGGACATAGCAAGCGCTCGTTATTTATAGTGATTATTTACAGATGAGGGGAGACAGGCCTGCAGACTGAGAGGTATAAAGCAGCAAAGCACCGGAGAGGGGACAGTTAATTCTTCCTGGTGAGGGATCCAGGCAGGCTTTGCCGAGGAGGGGACAGGTCAGCTGGATAATAAAGGAGGTAGGGATGGCAGGGTTGTTGCTTGTTTTCCTAGTTTGGTTCTTCTCTTTTCTTTCTTTTTTTCTTTTTTCTTTTCTTTTTTTGAGAGAGAAAGAATGAGTGCACATGCACCAGTTGGAACGGGGAGGGGCTGAGGGAGAGGGAGAGAGAGAATCTTCAGCAGGCTCCACACAGGGCTCGATCTCACTACCCAGAGGTCATGACTTGAGCCGAAATAAGAGTTAGATGCTTAACTGAGTGAGCCACCCAGTCACCGCACTTCTCTTCTTCCTCTTAACAATAGGAACACCCCTCCCAGATTTAGCAAGACACATGGCCACCTAGCTAGAGATGATGATTTCCATGTTTCCTTGCAGCCAGTGAAGCCATGGGACTGAGTTTCTACTTCTTAAATGTGAGTGGAAGTGAAATTGCTTGCCATCATTTCCTGTGGTGGGAATGTAGTGTGGGTGAACTTGCTTGGCCATGAGGGGATAACAGAGCAACAAAATACAGGGAGAAACTCACCAAGAAAAAAGAATGAACTCAAATAAATACAATCAGAAATGAAAGAGGTTATAACTGATATCACAGAAACACAAAGGATCATATGAGGCTACAGTGAACAGTTATACAACAACAAACTGGACAACCTGGAAAAAACTGACAGAAATGCCTGGAAACATACCGTCTACCAAGACTGAATCAAGAAGAAGAGAAAATCTGAACAGACTGGTTACTAGAAAGAAGAATGAATCAGTAATCAAATATCTCCCAACAAACCAAACTCCAGGGCCAGGTGGCTTCCCTGGTCAGTTCTACCAGACTTTCAAAGAAGAATTAGAATTAGTCATTTTCTTTTTTTTTTTTTAAGATTTTATTTATTTATTCATGAGAGACACACACAGAGAGAGGCAGAGACACAGGCAGAGGGAGAAGCAGGCTCCACGCAGGGAGCCCAATGTGGGACTCGATCCCAGAACCCCGGGATCACGACCTGAGCTGAAGGCAGATGCTTAACTGCTGAGCCACCCAGGCATCCCAAGAACCAGTCATTTTTAAACTCTTCTAAAAACTATGAAGGAGGGAATGCTTCTAAACTCATTTTACAAGTCCAGTATTATCCTGATACCAAAACCAGAAGGATGCCCCCAAGGAAAGAAAATTATAGGCCAATATCCCTGACGAATGTAGGTGCAAAAATGCTCAACAACATATTTGCAAACCAAATTCAAGATATTAAAAGGATCATATACTATGCTCAGGTGGGATTTATTCTAGAGATGCAAGGATGGTTCAACATCCACAAATCAATGTGACACACCACGTTAACAAAATGAGTGATAAAAATCCTATCATCATCTCAGCAGAGCAGAAAAAGTATCTGACAAAATTCAACATCCGTTTATGATAAGTAATCTCAACAAAGGGGATATACAGGAAACATCTCAACATGATAAAGGCCATGTATGAGAAGCTCATAGCTAACATGATATTCAGTGGTGAAAAGCTGAAAGCTTTTTTGTCTTAAGTTAGGAGGTACGAACTTCTGATTATAAAATAAATGAATCACAGTGATATAAGGTACAGCATGGTGGCTATTGTTAATAATAGCATATTGCATATTTGAAAGTTGCTAAGAGAGTCGATCTTAAAAGTTCTTATCACAAGGAAAAAAATTTTTGTAACTATGGATGTTAACTATATTTATTGTAGTGATCATTTTGCAATATATAAATGGTGAATCCTTACGTTGCACACCTGAAACTAATGTTATATGTCAATTATAACTCCATTAAGACGTCGTGTGCAACTGATGAATCACTGAACTCTACCTCTGAAACTAGTAATACACTACATGTTGATTAATAGAATTTAAATAAAAAATAATTAAGATTTTTGTGAAGTAGGTCACCGAATAAAATTAAAAAAAGGAACCTGGGTCCCTGGATGACCTGGGGGAGCATAGCTATCCCATTCACCTTGGATCACATGCCTGTGTCCAAACCATCACCTGAGAGAGACATAAACTGCTACCCTCTTTGAACCACTGTGTTGTTGGCTTTCTTATCTGAAGCCTCTTAGTCTGAACACTAACGAGTACAACGGGCAGAGAACAAGGAATACTCATAGGGCACAAGAGCATGTCCAAAGATATGAAATGTGAAAGAAGTTAGAAAATTTTAGGAAAATATTTCACAGAATATTTTTGAGGACCAAATGAGAGAAATGTATATAATTGCTTAGTACAGTACCTGGCACATGTTAAGTTCTCAATAAATGAAGATCATTTTTTTTTTCCTGTCTGAGGTCAGGTTTTTAGGGCAACATCTATAAAATAGGAGTAATGTCACCTGATGAAAATGGAGGTCTAGACCTTTTTATTATTATTATTTTTTTATTCATGAGAGAGGCAGAGACACAGGCAGAGGGAGAAGCAGGCTCCATGTAGGGAGCCTGATACAGGACTTGATCCCAGGACCCCGGGGATCATGATCTGAGCCAAAGGCAGACCCTTAACCACTTAGCCACCCACCTGCCCCTGGACCTTTCTGTTTTAAGACAGTATGAATAACTTGGATAAATTCTATTGGGAGCAAGATTTAAAAGAAAAATAATTATTAAGGAATGCCGGAGTCCTCTGCCTTCCCACTGATTTCAATAATTTAACAAAATCTCCAGTGCTCTTCTAGGACTCAGCTCTAGGTAACATGGATCCTTCTCAGTGGGCCCTAGAAGCATTAGCAGGTCCTTGAAGGAGCTCCATATTCCATAGGTGGGTTTCTTGGTGCTTCTGCCTCCGAGATAAATCCTCATACTGGCCCTGTGAGGCTCTGCGCCAACATCACGTTCGCGGAGACCTTTGGGCAGACCTGATTCTCTGTGTTAACAGGCATCTCCAGCAAGCTTTACCTTCCCTCCTATTACTGGTGCAGCATTCGCTTTCCCTGCCTGGTTGCGAGCTCTTCCAGGCTGGGGAGCAGGAGCAGGTCACATTTGTTGCCCCGGGACCCCACAGGGCAGAGTAGGAGCTCGGTTCAACTTTGCTGAATGAGTGAGATGTTTTTGGGGACACAGGATCAGTGGGGGCAGGAGGAGATTTTAGGGATGTTAGAAAGTCTGATGTAAAAAAAAAAAAAAAAAAAAAAAAGAACATGCTTCTCATTCATGCGTTAGTGCCCGAGCTTTGTCCTTTAGGCACGTGAGTCCTTCTGGCCTTCTGAAAACGCTCTTTGGTGGTGGTGGGTGGTCAGGTAGGTGGAAGCCCACCGGTACTCAGGCCTCGGTTCTAACCTCAGCTCTGTACGGACTTGCTGGAGAAACTTGCTGAGATGCAGAGGCCTTTCTCCTCTGGGGTTCAGTTCCCTCAGCTGTAAAATGAGGCCCCCAAACCTGCCTCACAACAGTGTTGGGAGGATCAAATCCATGTGTAAAGAGCAGCTCCGTAGGCTTCTGCAGAAATCTGAGTGCTCTCAGTTGTGTCCTGTTAGCTGCCCCCTGTCCCTGCCTCCTCCCTGTGAGGTTCAGATTGTACAGTGATCAACGGTGTGGAGTCAGGCATCGAACCTTCTGGGTTACTGCAACTCACTAGCTGTTGACCTTGGACAAGTCAGCTCGCTTCTCTGTGGTCCAGCTTCCTCATCTGCAAAATGGTGAGCGCTGACCTTAAGGGGTTTTTGTCAAGACTAAGTGAACATGATGTATAAGTACATATTTATATATTATTTTATTAATATTTCTAATATTAATGAAATATATATCCCATTTTACATTATCTATAATATATTGCATTATAGACAATACCATCATCATATATAGGATGTATTTATATAGATCTACAACTTACAGTAGTACCTGGCATGAGGTAAGCGCTGCATCAGTATTCCTCAGTGTCTGACCTCTCTCCTGGTAGAGAGAGGTAGGTAGCAGGAGGGCAGCAGGCATCTGAGATCCGGAGAGGGGGCCTGACAGAAGGGGAGGCCCAGTGGGAGATGGGGGGCCCTGAGGGCATGCTCTCCTCAGATCTTGGGAATCTCTGCCTGCTGGATTCACAAGGAATTTGCTGCTAAAATTAATGAAAGAGCCCAGGTTTGCAAATGACTTTCTTTTAAGAGACGCGGTGTAATTCTAGATGACCTCTCCAAAATACAGCTCTCCAACTCCCCTGGCCTTTTGCAATGCCGGCCTGGGCATCCGGGAGAGGCACGGGCCCTGAGCCTGCACCAGGGTTTGCGCAGCACGCCTCAGCCCAGGTTATCTGCGCCAGCAACCCCCCTCCTGAGGCAGTGAACCATTGCTTGTTTGTATTGAGGTAGTAATACGGCTGAGAACTCCTGGAATGGATAATGCAAATCCCCAGATAATCCCAAATTCCATATTAGCCAGTCATTTTCACTTCCCTCTCTGCAGCTGAGCCTGTCCCAGAGCTTCCTGATGGGGGTCCGATTACCTTGCCGGCCTTTTCTGCGCAGGGACATTAGCACGTAGCGCCTTGGCACCAGGTGGGTACCTGGGAATCGCCTGTTGGAGGAGGGACAGTGTGGGCGGCTGTGGGGGCAGAGGGCTCGCGGGCTGCGCTCTGCACCCAGGAGGCGGTGGGTTCTCGGGGAGGCCGCGCAGCCCCGCCAGGGCCAGAGCCCGAAAACTGGGCAAAGGTTGGCAGACAGGGAGGGCCAGCTAGAGGGCACAGAGGGCTCAGAGGCTTAGAGGGTCAGAGGTGAGAAATCCGCACAGTGCCGTGGGCGCTCTGCCCTTTAGGCCGCATTAGAGGAAGGCAGGAGGCCGGTTGGCGGAGGGGAAACCATCTAGTTTGGGAAACAGGGGGCCGGGCTGCCCTCGATGGGTCTGTGGGGCCCTCGCAAGTGTCTTTCCCTCTCTGAGCCTCCGTGTTTGGCCACTCCCTTCCCCATCTTCCCCGAACTCCAGACCAATGGGTTTTGCTCCCGCGGCCCAAATGTCGCCTCTGCTAACTTGCCAGGACCCAGGGGTGGCGCTGGCCAGGGGCCACTGCCCTTCCTCTTCCCCGGTGCTCTTCCTCCCTGCCCCGCGGGCTCCTCTCCTCGCTCATTGTCCTCCGGTTCTCGGGAGCCGCTGGCGCTCCCCGCTCCCCCCTCCCCTGCTCCCCCCTCCCCCCCTCCCCCTCCCCCCCCAGCGGCCGGGGCGCGGGCCGGGCGCGCGCTGGGTGGTCCGGGCCGGGGGCGGGCGGTAGCCTGCAGGCGTAATTGGCATGCACGCCGTTGTAGCTGAGACCGCTTAATAAAGCATTACATATCTCACCGCTTCCATATTTCATTACCTCACGCGGAGCCCGTGAGAGGGCCCTAATGGGAGTCAGCTGTGTTTTTACTTTCTGTTGTCGGCCGGGGACGGGTTTCTCTGCGGATTCTTTGAAATGAAATAATGTGATGCACGCCGCGATAAGGGCCGGCCGTAATGAGGCCCAGGCCGCGGGCGGCTGCTATTGCTCCAGGTGTCGCGTATTTGGGCTCCGAGGACGGCGAGGAGGAGGGGGCGGCGCCGAGGAGGAAGGGGAGGGGAAGACGCGTGGGGGAGGAGAGGGGGAGGAGGGGGAGGAGGGAGAGGAAGGGAGGAGCAGAGGAGGGAGGACGGGAAGGGGGGAGGAGGGAGGCTGGGGAGGGAGGAGAGGGAGGAGGGGAAGGGAGGAGGGAGAAGGAGGAGGGGTAAGAGGAGGAGGGGGAGGAGGAGAAGGGAGCAGCCGGGCTTGGGAGGGGGCGGTCCTGGCGGAAACTAGGGAGGGAGGAGGTCACAGCGGGATGCGGGAGAAGGGGACAGAGTCCGAAGGCCAGAGGCAGGGCCAGTGCCTGGCTGGAGAGCCAGCAGCCAGCTGGGGGTTCAAATCCTGCTTTGGCCCTGGCTGTCCCTGTGATCCCCTTGCCTCCTAATGCTTAAGGGGTTGCTGCGCTGAAACAAATGAAGTGGATTTGTAAATAGGAAAGGGCAGCATCCCATATATGGAAAAAATGGAATTCTTTATTGTGACAAAGGAGCTGATGCCCTTTGAGCAGCCCCTCCGGCCGCAGCACCTGCCAACAATTTCAGCAGCCTTGCTGCCGAAGTTCTGTTACCTTCCCTTTACAGAGGAGGAGACTGAGGGTCACAGAGGTGACAGAATGGCTCCAAGGCACACAGTGAGAAGCTGAGGACAGCCGTGGGCACAGAACCAGATGGAGACAGGAAGAAATGGGGAAGGACATAAAGTTGGGCCACTACCCGTGGCTCCCCCCACCTGCCCCCAAAATTGGGCTTTCCTCTCCATCCCATGTTATATAGGCCACCTGGCCTGGGTCTGAGGCTTTTGTCTTTCTCACTGGGATGGAGCAGAGAGTAGGCTCATGGGGACAGGAGGTGGTGTGGGCCCCGGGAGGTGGGGCACTCTGGCTGCTGGGGAGGCCGGGCCCAGAAGGCCCCTGTTCTGAGTACTCTCTCTTGGAAATTCTGTAGCCACAGGCCCTTGAAGGAAAGGCGACTAACTCAGACCAAAAAGCAGCTCTTCTGTGACTCCTCCGTCTCCATCTCTCTTTTCTTTTCCAGAAAATAAAGGCTCCTGGAGGAGTCTTTTTTTTTTTTTAATTTTATTTATTCATGAGACACACAGAGAGAGGCAGAGACACAGGCAGAGGGAGCATCGGACTGCATGCAGGGAGCCCAATGTGGGACTTGATCTGGGGACTCCAGGATCAGGCCCTGGGTCAAAGGCAGACACTCAACCACTGAGCCACCCAGGTGTCCCCTGGAGGAGTCTTCTATCTTCTCAGAGTCTCTCTCATAACCACCCACTCTCTCCACCCCCACCCCCACCCCTGCATGGCCAGGGGCAAGTTTCCAGTCTTGCTTCTAAGCCCTCAGGGCTCTTAAAATGCCCCCCAACCCTGCTGGTTGGCTCAGGGCTCTGCTGCTCTCAGGATGTCCAGCTCCCCAAACAGGCTGTGCAGGGCCTCCCCCAGCAGGGTCCTCCCCCAGGCCCAGGGACCTGCCCCCCCACCCCCAGCAGAGCCCAGGGACCTGCCCCAACCTCCTCAGCTCTGTCTCACTCTCTAGCACAGCCCCTGCGAACTAGGGGGCTCATCTCTCTGCAAGGTCATCACCAGGAATAGCTCTGCGCCGCTTGTTCACTCCGCTCCTGTCGCATGAAGTGCCCTCCTGCAGGGGGCCCACCTTTGGAGTCCTGCTTGCTCTGGGCACCTCAGCACAGTCCTGGGCACCCCAGGAAGGCTTCTCTCTGAGCCCTCCTGGGCTTCTCCTCACCCCACCTGCCATTTCCAAGCTGGATAGGCTCTTCCGTCTCTGAGCCTCGGTTTCCCTATTTGCCTGACGAGGGGGCAGGGGTCCTGATTCCTGGGCCGCATCATCTCATGAATTGACCCGACTGGGTGTTAATTTCTTCTTGAAGTAGAAACAGTTTTAGATGGTGGATGTGTCGGGTGGGAACTGTATGGGTGTGCCTACCACGGGCCGGGCATCGTCCTGGCACTTTCTATGACTTGTATATGTGCATTGCTTGGGGTTAGGGAGCCTTAAACAGAGAAGCTGGATTTGAACTCTAATCCCTGAGCCTGTGCATCTGCGCATTTGGGTACACGTGTGCACACGTGTGGATGTGCGTGTCTGGGTGTGCACATGTAAAATAATGGCACTCAGGGTTGGTGGTTCACTCTACCCCTCTCTAAACTCTCTTATCTCCAGGGGCCCCTTGAGGCGGGGGGACGGGGTGATAAGGATGTATGGACACAGACAGACACACAGCTGCTAGGACGTGTGCCCAGGAGGCGGGAGGAGGTGCTCCTTTGCCCAGGGAGCCGGTCGGACCCTCTCACCGCAGGGTTCTTTACGTTTGACCTAACTTTGGCAGTGTTGTGTCACAAATGACCCTCTTCCCTACATCCTAACTTTCTGTGCACAAGGCTTATTTCGGAGCCTTTGCTTAAGCTGGTTTCCATCTGGAATGCTTTTCCCCGATGCCCACCTGTGGACGTTTACTCATCCTTTATAAGACCTGGGTCAGATCTCCCCTGTCCACAGAAGCTGGCCGGACTCTGCTCAGAACCCTCTTTTAGAAGGTTCCATGCCATGTGCACATCTCTCTGGTCCAGCCTGCAGTCTGTCTCTCTGAGATCCCTGTCCCAAGACCATGAGCCCCTGAGAGTGGGGCTGAGCCCCACTCTGGGTCCAGAGAGAGCTCATGAATGGCTGGCCATGCAGGGCGGGCTTGGAGGATCACTGAAGATGTGTGCAAGTCCCCACTCACAGAAAGAGTGCAAAAAATGGCAGCGCGTAATATCGTCATGATTTATCACCGAGTTCTTGCTTTGGGCCAGGTTTTATGTCGCAATCTGTCTTTTACTGAATTCTCACGACGTCTTTATGGGATTGATGTTACAGCCCCATTTTACCCATGAGAACACTGAGGCCAAGGACAGCTAAGTAACAGCGGGGGGGCCAGAGCTCGCAGTGGCAGAGCCAGGCCCAGATCCAGTCCTGTGTGCGTGGGAGGCTGGTCCCTTCTGCAGGCTTCACTGGATCAGATTGCTAGCGGCTTGCTTCCCTGTTCCCTGGGCCTGTCAAGCAGGGCTGCTCTATTGATTAACATGCAAATGATTTTTTGAGAGAGGGCTCAAGTGTAGTTTGGTCCCAGCCAGCCACAGCTGAGATTTGCAACCCAAGCCCCAGCCCTCGCCAACCGCTCTATCAGGTTTTCATCTCTAGAGTGATTGACGGGTATTTTTTTCCCTCTCTGACCCAGAACGCCAGGCCTCCAATACTACTGAAATGTTTGCACAATCTTGAAGCATTTATTTAAAAGTTGCTTTTCCCCAAAGGGCCCGGCCTCAGCCAGATCCTGAGCCAGATCCAAAAAAACAAACAAATCCTATCTTTACAAGCTCCTCAGCTGGGCTGCGTGGGGCGGTGGGGGTAGGGGGTCTCCTGGGCCCACCTTTCCCTTGGCTGGCTGACAGGCCCGCCCTGGGGGCGAGGAGCCCGCCTGCCTGTTTACAGCCCTTTCCAATTCGCGGGCCAAACAGGAAAGGGGTGGGGGCTCGGGGAGGGGGCGAATGTCAGCAATCACAAATAACACAGTTGCTCCTCAAAGCAACAGGCGCTGGAGATGTGATGGGGATGTGGCTGGGTGGCTTTCTTGAACCAACATGACCAACTCAGGCCCCGGCCCCCCAGCACTAACCGAGCGTCATGACCGGGACAGGGGTCCCCCACTAGGCGTCGGAGCTCTCAAATGCTAGGCCTGGTTGGGTCTGTGGGCTTGGAAAAGTCCCTTCTCTCTGGCTTCAACCATTGTGGGACCACAGAGGTGGCTGAGCTCCAGCTCTGGGCATGCTCTGCCGCTGAATAATGCCCATTCTAGACTTTTCTCTTGGACCAAGCAAGGGGAAGAGGAGAGCTCCCATTTACGGAGGGCATTTTGTGTGGCCGGTACTGTGTCTGGCACTTTATGGAGATGGGCTCATGTACTTGTCGCAACTGCTCTGAGACTTCCTCCCTGTGAGGAATCCAAGGCCAGGGTAGGAACACCAGGTCGGACGGGCTGGTCCCCCTCTGTCTCCTGGCCCCTATTGGCAGAGAACTGTTGCCGGGCCGAGCGCAAGGCCTACTTTGGGACGTGGCCTGTCTTTTTGTGCCCAGTACTGGGACGGAGGTGACAGAGGTGCTCTGCAGAGGGGGAGCCTGAGAACTGGCAGGTGACAGTCTTATACCAGCTTCTCATGGCTACCCAGGGGCCAGCTAGCCACTCATGGGCGAATTGAGGCCTGTGGCTGGGAGGGCCCCAGCCAGTACCCTGGGGGACGGCCTCAGAAGTCAGACTCCAATGTTTGAATTTTTATCCAAAGCCCCCCTAGTTCCCACTGGACGTTATCCATCCCTGAGGTGGGCTGTCTGCTGCCTGCTGGAAGAAATCAAACCTGTAACGGCCTCTGTGCCCACGTCCCTGTCACATGGACTAGGCATTCCCACACCTATGGCTCGGCCTTCTGGGTACTTCCTGTGTCACCTTGGGCAGGTCTTTTCAGTGTCCTTTACAAAAGGGGGCCCTTATGCCATGGGGACTGTGCTCTGTGACCACGAGTCCAAGCTGATGTATGGCAGGTGACTGCCACTACTGCTGTTTCCAGTCCGGCCGGGTGCTGCTGTGGAGTGACCTGTCGCTTGACTGGCTTCTCCTCGCCCCAGCCTCTTGCCCACTCTGTGAACAATCCGTGCTAACTTTGGGCCAGGGAGATGATCTCGAAACAGTTGTGTGCACAGGCCGGGAGCTCTGGGAGGAGGCTCCACTTCCCCCATCTAGGAGCTCTGGTAGAGTGGGGCCCTCCTGACCTCGCCCTGCATCTGCAGAGCCTGGAACCGAGCGGCACCACTAAGTACATGTTTATGAATGAACACAACCCCAGGCAAGTTCTTTCAGTTCTCGGAGCCTCCATGTCTCATCTGTAAAATGGGGATAATAGCACTACTTAACTCATCTCTTTGTAAAGATT